GATGAAGATAAGCTTTAATATGGACATTTATAAAAGTTTGTATATGTAACCACGTTTCAAGTATTTCCTCTACGCACATTAATTATTGAACTTGCATTTTAAGGAATTTTAAATTTATTGTTTTCAAAATTATGATAATTATGATTATGTATTTTAAATGCAAGTTTAAATGAAATCTGTTTTTATGTTTCAGTGAAGTATTAAATGATAGTTTAAAGAGAAACAGATTTTCAAGAAGATAAGTTGAGTAGCATCCCGAGTTAGTTGCAAAAGATTTCGAAAAAGTTATAAATAGTTTCGAAGTAAAAGTTGCGAAAAATTTACTCTGATAAGCGGGGTGTTACAATATCAGCTCACTAATTATGTATAATTACCTTCACTCGTTTGAAAACTTTTTTTTGTTTCTCTTCCGGGACAGAAGCCCAATACTTGTAGCAAGGGATTACCACTTCCTTAATTTTGTTACCAATTGCCCTTGTATATAACTTTTGGTTTGGGCCAACAGGTAGCCATGATTTTCCAACAATATCAAACTCTATAGGAAGTTTTTTCTTACCATTTGCAATCCATATTTTTTGCAAATTTTGCCCTGTTGAGATTGATCGAGTCTTTTTCGATCGATGCTTGGAAGGAACTGTAAAGAGAAACAATGATATACAGTCGAGAATTACTGGAACTGTAAAGAGAAACAATGATATCCATGAGAAAAATTGCAACTTACTAGGCTGAGATCCATGGTCCCCTGCGCCATCTTCATCTGCCATTTCCTCGGCTACTTCACTCAATAGATTTTGGACCCAATTTTTGTGGAGAGAATTTTGTTTTAGGATAATTCCTTTGTAACCCTAAAATGATGTGTTATTACCGCCTTTATTTTTTTGCATCTGAAAGTGGCGCCTCAATGAAAAAGTTGGCGGCTTCACTTTTGTTTTTTTGACAAAACCTTGAATTCTATCCATCATATATTATATGTTTTAATACTAAGGCCTTAAATACTATTATCAATAATTATTCATTAGTTATGTTGGAAAATTAATTAGGTTAAGTAAGTTAACTTGAAATATATATAATAATTATTATATCGAGGATATGTTTTTTTTTTATGTTAAACCTTTCAATATTAGCATTCTTAATAATAATAATAATAATAATAATAATAATAATAATAATAATAATAATAATAATAATAATAATAATAATAATAATAATAATAATAACAATAATAATAATAATTTACCATGAATAATAATAACCATTTTACTCATGAAAAATAATATTGAAAATTACGACTTTAGTCGGAATCGCTATACTCTGTCAACATATCATCACTTGGCTCATCACCGACTTGATCTTCACGTTCGATATTTTCGTACTCATCCACAGTATCGTCCTCCATGTCATCATCACTATACATGTCAAATGGTGCATCCCCACTAAAAGATGGAATCGAGGTTTCAATAACATGGTCAGGTGGCATGCTATCTTGATGTAGCTCCACATTTTCGAGATTTCCGAGATCCACAAAAAGGGAGAAATGTGAAGAGTTATCGGAGTGCAATAAATCCACTTCGGTTAGTACCTCCGTTAACGGACTAATATCCACGGTATGATGTACTTCATGCACTACTCGCCAGTTTGGAGAACGAGAAGGATCATCGGTATAAAATATCTGCCTAGCTTGAGTGGCAAGTATGAATTGATCATCCTTGTAAGCCTCAGAACTTATGTCGATGTTTATGATATTTTTCTCTTGCAAAATATGTCGCCTATCAGATTTATACCACTTGCACCGAAACAAAACAACGGATAATCGATCAGTAAAATGAAGTTCTAGAATTTCTTGCAAAACTCCATAATACATCTCACCACCCACGCCAGATACTGATACACCACTATTTTGCGTTAGTCGACGAATATCACGATCATGTGTCAAAAAACGAACTCCGTTAACAATACACCCTGCATATTGCTGGACAAACTTGTCGCATCCACAGGCTAACGCGTACACTTCTTTAGAAACTGAATGGGGATTATAGTAAACCTAAAGTTTATAAATAAAAAAAAAAGAAGAAAAAAAAAAGAAAACTTAAAAAAACCATCCAAACAGATGATAAGTACCATAAGATAGAAAAATATCTAAATTATTTAATTATAATTTTGTAATTCAATATTAATTATTTTTTTTCCAAACTTTTGTACTTTGAATATATTCAAATTATGATGACAAACAATATTCACTAAAATACATCTCTTCATTCCCATACTCAAACTTATAAAATTTAATAATCATCACTTACGGATTTGAAAATAAATAAATAATTAAATTATGTTATAATTTAATAAACAAATATAATGTATATTATAAATAATTTGAATTTTCTTTTTTTAACATATATTAAAATAACTTGTATTCAGTGTATATCCATGTTTTTGTCATTTTGTTCAATATATATTTATTTTACTTCTCTTTTTTACTATATTTCTTAAATTAAATATCTATATTAATTATTATTCTAAATTGAATATAAGATTTAATTTTCCATGTATATATCCAACTTAAGTGTCTTGTTATTGCCGATAAAATATAAAACATACAAAAAAATATGAATACAAATTAAATTATGCATAAAAAGTAGTTAAAAAAAGGTTTAATGAAGAAATCCCCAAATTGGGAAACACTTCTCAAGAGCCGGCAAAAACAAAGCGGATTAATCAACTTCAGTTTTGATATTTTAGTTGTTTTGTTCTCACAGGTAAGAATAATATTTGCAATTTTCGATTTCTTTCTTGCCTCTTCATCATAATGAAAATATATTACTTGCTCTGTTTTAGAGATATGGTTTGCTGCAATTTTTTATCCATATTAGTTGATAAGCTCTTTAGTTTTATTAATTAAATAAAAGTGAAAATCATCCAGTTTTCAACAAATATCTTGTATTGTTTCTTGAAGCATATGGAGTTTTATTGAAATTGTTGTCCTGCCTTTGAGAGTTTTAGTCATCTTCACTACAAGTAATATATAATCTGTATGTTGCTTGGTATTTTTTGTTAAATAGAAATAGTATGCTATTATGCTAGTATATAGTGAATTAACTTAAAATGAGTTCTTGAGATGTTATTATAGAAAGAACTACCAGGATAAGGTTTGGGCATACTGATAAAATGAGTGATGAGTTGTAATTAGGACTCACTTTTTTGTAAAACCAGTCCGAAAATCGTTGTCTGTGCTGAAATTCCAAGTCTGCAACACCACTTTCCATCAACTCTTGCTTATGCTCCCTGTTATAAAAGAAAATCAATAATGCACAATGGCAGGAATATGTATACACAATGAACATACAAGATATGAAAATTCTTACTGAACAAATGAGTCTATTTCAGGACAATTGTTGAGTATGTAAAATTGTGAATGTTTATGCTTCTCCGGGTCTAGAGCCACACTCTTACGACCTCCAATAGGAATGCATTGTGATTTGAATACTGAAAGTTGTGCCGTCACATCACATGTCGGATTTCTCTGGGGTCGATTGAACTTTGTCTCCACGTCATTGAAATAACGTGCACAAAATGTTATTGCCTCGTTCGAGATATATGCCTCAGCAATTGAACCTTCTGGTTTAGCCGGATTTCTAACACATTCTTTGAGCTTCTTTAAATATCTCTCAATTGAAAACATCCATCTAAGGTGTTCAGGTCCACCTAAGATTGCCTCCTCAGGAAGATGCATTACCAAATGAACCATTACATCAAAAAATGCAGGTGGAAATATTATTTGCAATTTGCACAAGATCACAATCACATCCGACTGCGCTGAGATAAGGTCACTGACATTGAGACTTTTGGCACACATTTTTTTGAAGAATTTACACAATTCTATGATTGCGTCGGAGATATCCTTATCCAAGTATGCACGGGCTGCTACAGGTAACAATCTCTGCATTATGACATGACAATCATGAGATTTTAATCCTGTTAAGCGCCCCTCGTTTGGAGGCACACATCTTCTTAGGTTGGATGCAAATCCATCTGGAAATCTCACAGATCGGATCCAGTTGCAAAATGCAATCCTTTTAGTCGGCGAAAGTGTATAACGAGCCCGGGGTTTCATTATCTTACTCTTATCAGAGTAAAGATGCAACTCCGGTCTAATATTCATGTTCATTAAATCTCGCCTAGAATTAGGAGTATCTTTTGATTTATGTGGATCATCCATGATTGTTCCGAGAAGACTGTCACATACATTTTTTTCTACATGCATCATATCAATGTTGTGCTTCAATTCATTAGTAGACCAATAAGGAAGCTCAAAAAAAATACTTCTCTTTCTCCAGTTTAACTCATCTGCATGCTTTTTGATCTTTGCACCACCGTAATTCTTATGCTTCCCGGGTATCTTTGGCCTAACTCGATTCAACTGCATCAATATGTCTGTCACTGATTTTTTGCTTGGAGGGCCTCGAAATTCGATTTGACCATCAAAGTCACGCAATTTTCTCCATCTATGGTTTACCGGAAGGTATCTTCTATAGCCCAAGTACACTATCTTGCCCAATATGCGTTGCGAAGGAGTTTCGTCATTGCACGTGGGACAAGCCATGTAGCCTTGACCACTCCATCCTGAAAGGCTGCTTCTAGCGGGGAAGTCATTAATTGTCCACATTAATGCAGTTCGCATCCGAAATATACCACAATTTTTAGTTGCAGCATCACGTGTATCAACACCGATAGACCACAATATCTTCAAATCTTCCACAAGAGGCCTTAGGAAAATATCCATATCCTTTCCTGGGGATTTAGGTCCTGGGATTAATAATGAAGCATCAAATACTCCGACCTCATACAAAGCCACGGGGGAAGATTGTAAACAGTCAATATTACTGGCCACATGCTATATGACTGGCTCATATCACCAAATGGGTTGAAGCC